GATTGGTATTGCGCGAATTCTGGAATCCCATTTTAAATACTATTCCAAATACTATAGGTATCCAGCGTGCGATAACCTCTCTGCGGTTAAACTACTCATCTAGGACGGTACCCCCAAAGTTTTTCGCACGGCAATGCCACTTTCCCCTGCGCATCCCCGTCCGCCATCGCTTACACAGCAGCAATGTTGTCCACTGTGGTGGTCTCCACAGGTCAACAACAAGGTGTCTCATCATCCAAGGACCGCCCACCACGCTGGCATTCCGAAAACTACTGAAACACAGTGCTTTTTCAAGACCCGTCATCACCAAAGGCAGCTAGCAAAAGATCAACAATCTGCTGTTGCTTGAAACCATATCAGTAATCGCAAAAAAATTATCGCCCTCCAGTGATACCGACTGAGTTCCGTCTTTGCAATCCAAGTTTAGCTGCCCATATGATTTTTGAGTTATAGTCTGCTGTCGATATTTGATTTCATGAATTCCAACCATTGAACAATATTTAAAATGGGTTACATTCCACGTTTTATTTCCTCGGTCATCTGCACCTCGTATGTGTACTGCGTATCCGGAAACTTCTTGTCAACTTTCGTTCAAACCGCCAGCTCTCATGGCAGATAGCCGAACAAATTCCAAAGTGCTTGGTTAAATCGATGACTTAACCGATAATTGATGGTAAATTGTTCACAAGACTTCTAGGGTCATCTGTTGCAAAACATCGAATGACAACAAGACACACAGTGGACCCTTATTAGTCTTGCAAACCGCTGTTACGCAATCGCAATGCTAAACTCATGGCAATTAATGGAGCCTTACCTAGTCGATTACTTCACTCGACATAATGCGTGCAAACTTTTTCCATGCAATCAAAACACCTACCGTGGCGTTGAAATTCTACTCATGCTTGTACACGCTCACTCACCATAGTGGAACACCCCCAAGTGCTATATATTTACCTGCCTCATTTAAAATAGTGATTGAGACGGATAAAAAGGACTCAATCTTTCAAACGCATTTGTGGTACTGAATCGGGGTCGACTGTGTTGCTTGAATCCAGATTCGGATGTATCGCCTCTGTTAAATCATTTTGATTTGATTGGCTGTTCCGGATGGAAGCCATGTTCAAGGAAAACCTGCAAAACCTGACTCCCATTTTTCGCTCAAGGCTATCCAGCTTATTTTATAACCTACGGGTAGGTTAAAAGGAAAGGACTGAGAGTACCATTACTCTCACTGACTGCATCTCAGCTTCAGAGGTCGCGTTGGATTTCCTTGAATCGGACTGGTACCAAGTAAAATACTGCAAGGTCAACAGAGGCTTTATGAAACCACCACGCTTTTCAACCAGATTCGAAGAATGAAAGTGCATACACGAACGAGAAAGAACTGACAAGATTTGCATACAATAAAAAGGAAACAGTACAAAGGTGTTAACTGGTCAGTCAAATGGATTATTATCGCCATTCGATTCACCGTGATACGACAGGGCTAAAACTGAATGCCAATCAATAATTAATGGTACGTGCTGGGTAGGGCCCACATTTGGAACGAGTGCCAGAACAAGACGGATTCCTATTGGGATGAACATGACAACAGGGCTTCTCTTTGGACAATGTATGTATGGTAAATGGACCACATGCATCAACATGGTTCTATACCGTAAAATCAACTAAGAAAAGTTTTAGAAATATCACTGCAACGGAGAGGAACGTTTTCCTGCAGCTCAACCGTACATCCTCACTACCACTCGACCCTTGGTATTCTAACAAATGAAAGGTAAGTTGCCTCTTAAGTCCAAATCCTTCGTTTTATATCTTTCAACGTGCACTTACTTGTAGTGCACAATTCAGTGGACACATGACCAGGCGATTATCAAAACGTATTACTAAACACCGTCCTGCGGCCCTCTACAAAGAAACTGTTAGATGTATTCGCAGCTCTGTTCTTAGTCATCTCTTCGATAGCGAGCATTTTGTGAACCAATTGGGTGCATTCAAAATTATTCACATCATACCCCGGAGATATTCCAAGGGGATAAGAAGGCGGCTTTTAATCACGGCCGAGGCGATTGCAATTCGCATTTGTAACCCAGAGTTATGTAAGCAAAAACGCTGGTCCAGACACTGTTGTCGCCCTGACTTGGACAGCGGATTGATTGTGCCTAAATTTGAGCATCAATCCCCCCCTCTCCTACCACTTTTCCTCATCCAGTATCAGAAACCACAATCTTAAGAGCTCATTATTATTTTGTCTTCATCTCTACTGTCCCTTCCCGATTACATCACTTGCTATGCATGACATAAAGTTTCTACTGTACACTACGTAACTACTTCCGGCTCTCTCGTCTTAGCTCATAACCTTCATTTTAATCTGCGAGTTGAATCTGTCCATTTGACCTTGGTCTTCTCACCCCCACCACGATTATGACTTGACCTTATCCTGTTCGTTTGCTATGTTTGCTCGCACATGCCATCGTTACTCACTGAGCTTTAGTCGGCCAATCAGACATCTGTACTATGTATATATGGGAACATCTGATGCAATATATCGAAAAGAATTTTTTTCGCGAATACCGTTTTCTAAATTGTCTATCGGACTATTTTATGATTTGAAAAATTTAGGAATGAAGATAAATTCTATCAGTTCTATACAATAGAACAACACAGAAAACGCTAAAGTCAATGCGAAGAACGCAGATTAACACAAGCTTAACGTTTCAGTTATACGGAACAGCGAAATTCGTGAGCCTGAAAGCGTATGAAGACGGTCTAAGAACCTTAATATAAAGGGTTTTTTTCAGCATACTTGGACCAGGTAAGGTAGTAATCACAGGTTAACTCTACAAATCAATATCGAACTGACCAATTTACTTTTTGATTTATACAGTTATATGGGCGAGAACATTGAAAGACCAGCAAAGAAATAGCTAAATACTACCGTCATAATCGGTTCTGGATTGGGACTAATGATGCGCATTGGGTTGGATTAAATGTCCTGGTATAGAAACCAGTCTCAGGAAGTGTACCGACAACCTAACAATAATATTAATGCGGTTATTTGTGTCGTTACTATTATAGTGAGATCCTAGTCGCATTGTTTACCAGTGGTATTTTACTCTCAAGGCATTTATACTGTCTTTATTTTTTCACACGGCTACTAGGGATCTCGTAATGGGTTCCTCATGGAGCTGCATAACACATGAATAAATCGTGGAACCATTTCAACCTTGATTCGTTGTCTTATCGGTGAATGCAACATTTTTGTTCCAAAACACGCGTCTCGCTCTTCATTGTCTGATTTACCCGCTACGTGACTGTGGCGATAAACAATTTCGCAGCTCGGCATTCGACTCGCGGATTCACAACAGGTTTACTGACAAAACTGAGAGATTGGTTGATGAAAGAATCTGTAATTTTGCAATAACTTGTTGACTACAGTGCGACGACAATGAAAAAGGAGAGATTTGTTTCGCATGTGCGCGATAGAATCGTTCTAACCCTATACACTACGATGAAGGAAAGCTCAGTAGATACATAACCACCAGTGTACATCAAAAAAAGTAAACAACAACACAACGGCTGCTAAAAATGATAAAAATAATAAAATAAAACAGCAACAACAAAAATCGATGGAGTAAAACATTTTTTAAGATCAGATTTGATGAAATCCAGCCTTAAAACAACAGGAGAACCTGAGAATGCATGGATGAGAACGAATAAAATCACAAGACATTATTCGATAGGGTTTACAGTAATCAATTGGAAAATGTTGAACGTGATGCTACAGACGGCTGAAAATGAAATAAAATTCAGGGATCTGAATGTGACTTTGAGGTTGAATAGACCAGAGGAAAATGTGGGGGACATAAACGTATAAATAAACACAGATTAGGACAAGCTGCCTACTGAGAAGTGTGAAGAGAAGGAAGAAAGATTTATGAGACTAAACAGAAAACCAAAGATTCCTCATCTCAAAGAGCGCGTTGGAGAACTGAAGAAAGATTAAATCGATGCATATTACGAATAGCTTTTGGTTGTTCGAAGCTCTGGAGTTAAGTTAGGCCGATTTTTACTTAGCATCTGTTAGCATTTTCAATCTTATAGAAAGAAGAAAGTGATGTGAAAACGATTTTGGGGTTCAATTCCAGAACTTTGTGTGTATATCAACACGTATGTTAAACCATATCACTTTCTTGTGTAGACTACGTTGATCAGTTGACGAGGGGAAGGCTTAATCTAATGTATCGATAAGTACCAACGTTCGCAGTATAGAGGAATGAACGAATTTGTCGTGCACCTTGAATATATTGAGTTGCACAATAAATATACGAAACATCTAATGTTTGGATCTCACTGGGGAAACCGAGCTTGGCAATTGGATCACAAATGTTTCGTCACCAACCGAGGTTATATGGATGCAACGTAGAACGAGCTAGTAATATGGCCATAATGGTAAAACGGTCAGCGAACGTTGCCTTGAGGGAAACACGGTACAGAGAGTTAGGTTTCGACTCTCGGTTGTCTGGTCAAGAAAACGCGCAATCCCAACATGACGCGTTCAACTATTGCGGAGATACACCATTTTGATATGACCTTCGGAAAATGTAAAGAAAATTGGGTGCAAATATATAACCAATTAGAATTGACAAGCTGTTCATGAGTTTTCCACAGCGGGAGCTGCACAATCATATGAATGCGCGCAAAATAATCACAGATTTTAAGAAAAAACAGTGGCAATTCCAACAATTACGATTTGAGAAAATTCTCTTTAAAACTAACATATTCCGGACAGAATTGATTGATTTCGGATGAATTCAGTGGAAAACCGGCGAAAGCTTCCGTTAAATTGTGTTTGATCATTCATTCTGCGCTATTGAATTATTCGCACTGAAACCGTCAAGAAGACTCGTTGTACCATTAACTTTATTCAGCGGATATTATCGTGTACATGGATACGTCAAAAATTAGATAGATATTTATCAATCATACACGCGGCATACCTGCGTTAACCCTAGATTCAATGCCACTTTCGTTCACTCCTCGAAGAATGCGGAAAAATCCATCCTCACCCCACTCTTTCATTCCACGAGTTCGCAAGTAACCAGTACCTTTCACCGTTCTCCTCTCCCCAGCCGAGCATGCGAATCGCGTGATATCCCACGAATGTACCGGTCACGTGATGGTAAATGCCTTTTGAGTAGGTAAAAAAATCTTCGAACACCTGAAACATTGCTTCAACTGGTCCATTTGTCATAGTATCATACATTGTATTTGTTTGTTGAGGACCTAGGTTATACGAAGATAATCCTATGGGAAAATGAGAAATAAAAGGGAAATCATTGAGAATGGTTCTGCTTCTTGACTAAATATTGCACAACAGACCATGGAGGTAAAAACGCCTGAGATTATCTACGATAGCTACAAAAGATGTGTTATCCAAGATGAAATTGAAACCCTGCCTAAGTGGATCATTCTTCTTCCTGGAGTGACATTTAGGGTATTCATATTGATCGATCTCTCCATGATATATCTTTGAGTTATATAGTTATTTACGTGGGCGTTGTGGAGGATTAATTTCGATTATCTAGTGCATTTCATCGAGCACGGAGCGAATCAAGCGTAAAATTAAAAGCTAGGACGAATAGGACAGGTGTGTCTGCTTCAGTGGGTCTCATTACGCGTGCAAATCCATCAGACTGGGCGGGTCGATCCTGTTAGTGAGTTCGAATTCTATTCGAGCACGGGACCAATTTCTTCTTTACTATTCAAGAAGTGTGACAACAAACAGACTTTCCTTTGGGTGAACCATTTGACACATGATTCGTTTAAAATGGCAAATGGCAGTGAACGAGGGATAGATGAGAGGCAGATATTCCATTTCACCCACATCCCCGTTAGCGACGGTAGCATAGATCAAATAAAAATGATTCACAGCTCAATGGATGAATATTATTCTCAGATATTGTACTCCATTTGGGCTCGACGTTTTCCGTGCCGCAATCAGAACTTGCGGTCCCAGTGCTGTTAATCGATCGAATGTTACTTGGTCTGATACTTTATGCATATTCGTTAAGTTTGACAATTGTAATGATACACGACCCAGTAGAGCAATATGGTGGATCTTCATTGAAAATACACTAGTGGCCAAATACGTTTGTTCAGCAGTAGTATACGTTGAATGTGAGAATCAGTAAGCAAATCAAACAGTTTTCCGCTATTTCAAAGAGGAAATATTTACCGAGAATATTTCGATCACATGTGAGTGGCATTCAAACAGATCGCACAGAAATCTACCAGATTTAAAAACCGTCTGACTGCGACACATTTGTTGCATTACGATATTGGAGTAGTGAATAAGGACTCGAGGGAGGAGGGGATGCGATAGGCAAACTTAAACCCTTATTTGGGTTTCACCGATGAATACGTTTTGAGAACCTATTGGCATGTGATTGTTCTTTGCTTCTCAATGCTCAGTAAACTTTAACGATTTACTTGTCTACCAGGTAAGTATCAATGCGTTTATGGAAATAGTTTTGAAATTCCACTGAGAAAAACTGTGGTAATCGGAATGTGATCACGTATGACTGGATCGCCACACATACACACGACGCCATTTATATATATATATATATATATGCAAAAAGAGATATTCCAATGACTGCAATTTTCGAATAACTCCGTAAACTTTGTCCTGCTCGTACGTTTTGTTATAACCGGCCTGACATTTTCTTTCACAGAACGGAGTTCGAAAGATTTCCTTCGGGCAGGGCTTTAGTGTTCCAGATGCACCATGATGACTGCATTTGGGGAATGGATAGGGCTCACATCCGGTCGGGTTTTCCAGTGAACCGCCAGTCACAAGGCCGTAGCTTTTCCAGTAGTTCCAAGCCAATGGAGGATAACCTCCATGACATCCAAATCCACAGAAGTGACAACAACTCAACAAATCACGAGCGCTCAAATCAGCCGTTAGTCGTCCGTTACTGTGGATACACGTCCGATCGGTCATGGTCTCCGTGGCCCCAAACGCCTGCAATGTACACAGTAGGATGATAAGCATATTAGTCATGATCTACTCTCGAAGGAAGAAACACAATAACCAAAACCTGACGATGTTTTTTAATCGACAAACATATAAATTGTTTGTAACCTCTATCTTAGAAATTCTCCATTCGGAAATTTCGACGTGAATAATGATGGACTTGTGTGAATCATTCGTTTGAACAAGTTGTCGAATCGTCTAACTGACTGATTCATATGCAACTCTCTGTAAAGTGTTGACTCAGAAAAAATCGATGAACGGGTATATGGCCGTTAAATTATTATGTACGTTCTCCTCCCCCCACCCGTTTGAGCATTCTAAACCCCAGTGGGTTCATTGATTCAGTACCAACATCCGTGAAATATGCCATGATTTTCATCTATTTGGCCGGAGCAGCGAGAGACAGATAGTTTGTTTGTGTGCATGGGAAGTAATTCTTGTTCGAACACTGATATTGCGTTCCGATTGGAGAATTTCTGTTCAGCCAAATACTTTTTCAACATTTGGGTTACTTGCACAATGACCGATTTCACGGTGCAAGCACGTGCACTCAACAAACAGTTCACACGTGAAAATCACTAAATTCAGAATCCCGTCGATTTCAGTGATCAGTCTACAAGCCATACGGAGCAGTCAGAAATGTCTTTTATTCTCCGAGAAGGAAATTAATCAACAACTCCTGCCGATTTCAGTCCCTCACAGTGATAACGCAAAAATCTACGTCCAAGGAGGGGTAGGGAGGTGCAATAATTTTCACTACGTGTACGCACAATGGTGTATGAACATGGATCTACAAGTTTCATGATCACATTCAACATGTAAAACGATTGATGGGTAAAACGGCATTCACTGGTTTATGCTTCCGAACAGTCGGACATCTCTAATACCACCAACCCATCGAATGATTTGAGTGTGCACATTGAACCTAAGTATACGGTTCGCGTAAACACTGTGGAGACAGACATCGAATTCCTATCGATTCCCATCGAAGAAGCATGTTTCGGGACAACTAATCCGTTACTTGCATACGATTCACAATTTGGCTTCATCAACAAAAAATACTATCCGGGTCTACGACACCGTATACTTCAACTTGAATGGGCTAAAAACTCGGTGCATTCTGACAATTTATAACTGACCATCTTTTCGAATGCTATCGGTGATGAACTACCACGTTTGACGATTCAATGAATGCATTGAAATCAAATATTCCCGTGGTCTCGATTTACTAACCCATTTGATCAACCATACAGGAGAGGGAAAATATTTATTCCTAAGCCGATAGCCATACGAAGATTGAAGTTCATGCGCTTCAAAGCCAAGCCAATCAATCTGTTATTGCACTTACGGCACTCACTTCTGATTTCGTGCTTATACGAAGCGATTACTGTTCCCATATTGAGTTTACCCGGATGGCCTAACAGCACCAAATCACCTAGTCTAATGCTCAAGGACTTCGTATTTTTACGCTGCCTTACAGCACCAGCATCATTGGTCTCCTTCGAACCAGAGTATCAGTGGAAAACATTGCATAGCAAAAGGCTATCTACTGACGTGTATATAAAATATGCTCCAAACATTGTTATCTATCTGAGGTCAACCGTTGAGTAGGTGCGGGATCGCGATGGTCACAGTAGTCACGATTGTATGGGAAATGCTTTGAAAGAGCGGTTTGTATTCAGAGTAGAAGAAACAAACCTTATGTTAATATTCTATGAATGTTATTGTGTATAATAACGGTGAATTCAACCAAAAACCTTAAAGCACTTACCCAACAGGATCCACAACTCGACCAATTTCCAATCTCTTTGATCGATGGACAATGAGGTCATTTTTCACGCGCATCAAATGACATTGGCAGATCTCGATTGAATGCATTGTAGCGAACGGTCGGCTGATGCGAGTTCCTTTGCTCCGGGGTTTCAAACAAAAGTCCCAAGTGTTGTTTTAATTCTGCCACACTCTTGAATCGTTTTGATGAAGCTGCCCTCCATCTGGCACCGGACTATATATAGTGCGAAGAGAATTGCAAAAATGTGGAATCATCGTGTTTGAAGTGAGGAAGTGAAACGTAGCGGATTTCAGTCGGGGTCAACTTACTTCTTCATTTATAAAACGGATCAATTCTTCAGAAAACGGTTCAAAACGCCTCTTGGAGTTTACAGTGGCTTGTGTAATGACGAAACTGGATAGAAAGATGAACAACCACATGTCGGATAGTGCACACTCGTTTCCACCAACTTCGAACGTGCTTTTATACACAATAATGACCATATGGGTAACTCCAGTCACCCCTTATACTCAGATTAAAATGAGTATTAACAGTTCTGCTTAGTCTGGGAACAAAAGGCTATGCATCACTGATCCGCTGAAAGGAATACCATGTGATTGGGTGCCCCTCCAATAATGATGCGTCTTTACAACAACTTCAGAGCATTCTGGATGACATTTTAATTGGCCGTCCTCGATCGCTAATGCTTAGTGTTTCCAAATGTGTTGATGTTCCTTTGAACATCAAAGCTGGCTCCCGTTATTAAACTGCTTTTATTATTATATCTGACCTCGTCGGTAACAGAATCAGTATTCCGAAAGCTGCATCTGTTAAATACCTGGTAGTCGTCTATCCCGCAATCACTCTTGGACTACAAATGTGGAGCACGTTTGCAACGAGGTTCATAAATTTTCTTCATACAAATTCAGTTTGAGGAAGCTTTCCGTTCCGCTAAATTTGATTTTCAAATTCGTGGGTGCATGCTACATCCCTCAATGGCTGTACTGTTTCCTGCATTTTTTCCCTGCTTACAAGGAAAAATTTCATATTAATTGCCAGATCCATAAAACTCCCTTCCTGATGTAGTGGCATAACTGGAAATGTCCTGATTCAGTTTATTATGTGCAAGCATATCGATGCATGTGAAAAGAGAAGTCGATAGAATCGTGAACAACGAAGATAACCGCTTGGACAGCGAACTTCTTAAATCCATGTGAACCCCTCGTAGCTGCTCCCATTATAAGCTCCTTCCCACACGCACCGTCACATACAGAAATAGCATCCTCCCTTTTCTTACCCGCTTTCCAGTGAATTGGGCAGCATTATTACAGGTCTGGTGGAACAACTCATGAGTTAGTTTATTTATTCATTTGTAATCGACCACTATGGACTTCTTACCCGCAGTGTGCTGTCTTTTTGTTTACCTTATTCACAATTCTGCAATCCCCCCCCTCACACACACTTCCGCTGCATTATCATGATAACTCGCTAAAAATTCATCATTCGGATGTATAAAGCTTAGTTTGGCTTCACTCTGTTGAGCTGTCCGAGTGCTACAGTTTGGGACAACAAATGTTACAAATTTTCATCATGATGCATACCCTACGTGTTTCACATCATACTACGTTAGAAAACTAGAGACACCCTTTACGAAAATCAACCACACCTCAACTGTAGAGGACAAATCAGTCATTGGATATGGTCCCAATTGGCAGTAGCTCATGCACATGTTTCCCATTGGCGAACCTACAATCCATTTTTCATTTCATGTGTGAATGGTTCTCCTTCAAATTGGGAGTCTACATCTTACACATGTCACCTTTAAAATTACGGGTTCATGTATTCACAGGTACACGGTTTCACCAAGATACTTGTTAACTTGGAAAGAGTGTATCATGCATTTTAAATAGACCACTGTCATGCGCTAGTGTCAGCTTAGTGGAACTACTCACTGACCTTTCCTAGTGCTATTTTGATGACTATTGTCCTTGCAACGGCCCGAAATCGTACGGCTTTTGGTTCACCAAATCAGTCATTAGAAAAACCCTGACTTGTTTCGTGCTTCGTCTTCAATCTGTTCTATGGTTATGCGTTAGATACATGCTGGCAGATGATGTGATTGTTTTCTGAACTCAACATTCCATGAAACAGATGAATTTATTTTTTTGGTAGATAGTAGGATCAAAACAACATGCTGATTACATCCGTATTCCAACTACACTTTCGGTGTAACTTTTCTCCCTTCACAATTGTGGCTAACTGAAAGCACTAAACCTGAACAACTGATGGGTAGCAACATGTGGAATGCACAAATTATTCCACGCGAATGTACAGCTTTGTTGAGATAATTGTCAATGGGACCAGGGAACACGTTAAATAAGGTTTTGTAACACCAAAATCCCGAAATCCTAACAGTAAAACGACTATAACGACTACTAATACTACTAATGTTAGTATTAGAATTAGTGTTGCTGTTGGTAGTACCAGTGTTATAGTTCCAGAAGACGTTGCCGGTCGAGGATAATTCTTTGTTGATGATTTCACATGCGATCACTAATTTGCCATAAATAACACTAAACATCTCATCAGAAGCATACCATCACCGTTCCTGACGGCCCACCGGGTAATGCATAGGGCAGTCGGTAGCTATTCCTTCAGACACATCACTTGGCCTTCGGCGGTCTTGTTATATTTTTGATCATTGAAAGAAATCACCAACTATGTTACTTACTACTCCAAGTGAGTAGTATCTCTCAACACTATTGTGATAACCGTGTCACACGCAGTGATTATTTGGAAATGGATCTATTCCATTTTGCACGAACAACAACCTTTATCAACCCAATAATGAATCTATTTCGCAATTTTCGTACTCTCGGTATGTCGTTTTCGGAAAAGGAACTTATTACCGGGCACCCACTTTTGGAATATCAACAAATGACAACCGTTTAAGCATTAATCGAATAGCGCTTATCTTGTACAAATAGATACGGTCAATCATCAACATTGATCCATTATAATCATTAAACATGATCACGTAACATTCCATCATATTAATATGAGTAAGAATAACTATGATTATCTTCATTCATTACTTAGTAGGCAGTTAAAGTGCGAAGGTCATCCCCACTACAATCAGAACATGACGTCTAACGACCTTGAACCCAGCGGATCAGTGATGCATAGCCTTTTGCCCTCAGACTAAGCAAAGCTGCCAATACTCATTTTAATCTGAGTATAAGGGGTGACTGGAGTTACCGATATGGCCATTATTGTGTATAAAAGCACGTTCGCTTGACCGTCGCATTCTCATTCAACGCCTGGCTGGCTGGATCCGACGTGTTAAGCGTTCTTGTGAACTACTTCTGTTTTAGGACGCAATCTGCCTCATGCCATGGTAAAATTTCATCGTCCTTCCACGTTAACTCTGTTGTCTTTCAGGGCATAATTTTTTCTTCATTTTTCCTTTACACAGACAGCCTGCTCAATCCCTACAAACTTTATTGCCTGTAATGAGAAAGGAATTGTCTATAAGCAAACTGAAGAGGATCGAGAACATCGAATGGTTCAACAATACTCCTTGAAAGACTTTCATCAGGGTTGATGTATAGGCAATCGGTTGATATTTTGAAGAATGGATCCTATCCGAGTATCCCTTTAGCAGTCCGGGATTGTTCCGGAGGACACAAATTGAACAACTCTGCAACGAGTCTTGCAAGGTGTTCGACACAGGTTTTCAATAAAATGGGGACTAATTAGTCCGTTCCTTGGACCTCGTTAGACTTTCGTTGCTTCAAAACTTTGAGACCCTCAGTGAGAGAAATAGAGTTATTGTTTTCAGGGAAATCAAAAGCACACGGTAGAAATTTGGGACCAGATGAAGCTAAAATTGTTGAGTTAATTCTTCTACGTCAGAACAGGAGCTCCCAAATGTGTCACAGAATTGTTTCAACGCCGACCATATATCGCGACAGCTCTGGTTGCCAATAATGGTCTCGACATACATTCCATTCATGTGTCGAATCTCTGTCATTATGAGAATCAAAA